TTGAGATTATTGTGAATATGTTAAACTGACAGCAAGTCTCTAAGGGGCACTGCTCATTAATGTTCTGTGCATAAAATTAAAACTTGAAATATATTTTTCAAGCCATTTTGAATCATTTAAGCAATTCTCATGCAAAGAAACTATTGTGCTGCAATAATATATTTGGAGAGCAGAATATGAAAGCTATTAAAATGTCCTAGACCCCCTGCCTTTCAAACAAAAAAAATAGCAAAAAGGCGACTCTTTCCTGGTTTGAAACATGCAGCATGTGAGCCATACAAAAATAATACTCTGAAGGAGCACTAAGCCTTTTATTTCAACCCATATAATCCAAGACATTCAACATTATCTCTTCTCACTATACCTTTATTTCATGCATTTATGCCTAGCTACTTAAGTATATGCAAAGGTAAAGTTCTGGTAAGCCTTGTATATAGTCATCTAAAAGTAATTCCCTACCCAAACAAGGCTCCCTCTTTGTAGCGGGGGCTCGTTCAGAGATAGCAGTTATGTATCAAGAGCAATGCTCTCACGTGATACACAATCCAAATTGGCACTAGCCTTATAGGCTGCTGGTTAAGCTGCTGGCAGAAATTATGTTCTTTGGGGTGCCATGTGTGGACATTCTGCCTTGCTGCCAGCTAGAATATATGTGCATATTTATTTAGGGAGAAGGACTGGGGTACCTCAGGCAGTTGTATAGTTTGGACAGAATCATGGATGATTCTGGGACCTCTGAAACCTCAAAGGAAACTGGAAAAGTTATTGAAAAATGTCCAAATTCAATTAGCAATTATTCAGTCTTTTGCAGCATGGAAGCAAGGCTGCTGCTGTCAGTGTCATTTTACAGACAGAAAAAGAACAGTAAGTCATTGAGAACGTGTTCGAAAGCCAATAGAATCATTACAGTCACATTCAGATGGTGACAGTGCCAAGTGTTAACATCAACGATAATGGTTCCAACGATGCAATTGGGGTCCATTGTTAAATGGATAGTCAGGAGTTTTAATTAACTTGTGTTTTACATGATAGACTTCAGCAGCACTTGCTTGGAGTGGCGCCACTGTCTATAGAGTCAAATGGAATTTGTTTACTTAAAAGAAAATCATAGTGATCATAACACAGTATTCTACCACTTATGCTGCCTACATTTGAAACAACAATGTGGAAATATTAATGCAACCAGCTGAAGTTATGCTTACTGGGTCTTCTATTAGGCTACCACACTGTTGCTGTCACAAATAATATCAGAGTACCAGGGACAGAACTGACAGGGGTAAATTGCAATTGCAATCACATTCACCCAAAAAGTAGATACTTAAACATGAACTTGGGGGGCAAGACAAGTGGATTGATTTCTCAAATTTTTGAGCAACTACAGTTGATCCTGGCTGACTGATATCTGAAAATAAAGCCACTTTCTTGGGTGCCTGTGCAGACATGAGTTTTAAATATTGCCCTTCAAATATAAAAATGCAGCACCTCTAAATCGTTATTAGCTGTATTCAGAAAGAATTATATGTATGTCCCAGCTCTTTGAAGAAAACACATTTATAGAATAACAGGCTTTCAGATTTCAAAAGTGTGATTTAAATACACAATTCAAGGTTTTTTCCTATAGACAAATGCTTCCTTTCTTCTGAATCTCCTTGACCAGTGAGGTGCCATATATTTTCATTTTCAGGATTTTGTTCACATCATATATGTGAGGTAGCATAGTGTGTCATGAAACAAATGCAGTTTTGGCATTAATTATCACGGGGGTGGATTGTCTCTAAACCAGCTTTATACTGCTTCAATCCTGCATCTGCCAAGGGCTGAAAGAGTCCTCAGAATGAACATATTGCCTGGCAGCTCCCTTACCTAGTGCTAGGTGAAACAGTTTCATATGGCGCTGTTTTTCACACTATTGGTCCCCTGAAAGCACTCTACAGCTATGCCATGACACACAGACATGACAAATTAACCCTCATCAAATCAGGTATCAGATGACAGCGCTTCACTTCACAGCACCTTAGGGAACTTGCGTTCCCTAAAGTTAATTTGTTCTGTGATTGAGGCTGGGCTGATACAGCCCAGCCCTGCCTCTGGGCTGTCAGCAGGAAGGGAGTGGGGGAGAGAAGGGGAGTAAGCTGCCGGCTGGGGGTTTGCCTGGCTTGAGTTGGAGGGGGCTGTGGGTGGAGCCCACCCCCCCCACCCCCCACTCCAGCAGGGCAAACCCCAGATAAAAGCGAGGATTAAACCCAGGTCTCCCCTGGGCTGGGCTGGGCAAGAGCTCTAACCATGCAGCTGCTGGCGTAAAGGAGTGAGCCAGAACTGGCCCCTGTTCCACTCATGTATTTTGTAGGAGTTGATAACACCTAGCAGGCCACACAATGCACACGTGGTAGCTAGAGGAGATCATGACCGGGTTCAGTCATAAACTAAGTATCTAGCAGTTCAATAACACTGCTAGGATTTTGGTGTTTTGGGGCATGCCCAAAAGTATGACGGTAAGCATTTATAGAACTGTATGTTAAAAAGATTGAGTGCCTGTACCTAGGTGAGAGCAGTTTTTGAAGATCTACATTTTGGAGTTGGACAATGGACATGTATAGATGCTTACACACGGGGAAAAAACCCAGCACTTTAAGCATGCACTCCCACGCCAAGCCCAGCTCATGCCCAGAGGAGGCATCACATTAGTTGGACCTGGTTTGCCCAGCATCTGTGTAGATCAGGTGCTTTAATGGGGCATTTTTGGCACGTTTATGTGATAGCTGATTGAATCAGCTTTGGATAAAAGCACCGAAAAGCCCCACTGAACCACCCAATCTATAAACGCTGCAAAGCTGGGTCAAAGGAACACACTGCTGCTTCTGGTAAAATATGTTTTGGGTTTTTTCCATGGCTATCAGTGCCCTTGTGATAAATAACAATTTAAAGCCCATTACTCATTTTTCTATGAAAAAATAAAACCTAAGGTAAAAACTTCAATAGCAAGTAAAAACCTTTGGTCATTATTCCCCTGAATCACACGTGTGATTTTGTTAATGGGTAAATTTTTCAATGTATCTGTTCATGTATTCAAATTCCACTTCATTTCAGCCTCTTTTTCAGCTTGTTTTAGAATGATAAAATAGTATTTCTTACATGTAGCTATAACAGATAAGTAGTCATGCTTTACTTTGCATCTGTATTTTCATATCTGAAAACATGTGACAATGAGTACATTTTTTTAAGCGTGATTGGCGATTCAGCTGATTTAATTGCCGGTGTAATTGATAATTAGACCCAGTGTAGATTAAAGCACCTAACTGCAAGTGGAATATTCTGTAGTAAACTGTTGTTTGCAGTTAAAAACCCAGAAGAGCAGTATTATTTGGTATTTTAGGAGTAGGGTGTTAGTTTTGGGGGGATTTTCTGTTAAACAAATGGAAGACCTTTTGTACATTTAAAATTACTACTGAAAGTGTTTACAGTCTTTTGGCATTCAAGTATTTAGGGCCTTTTGAATCTTAGCTCTAGGAAATGAAAAAAGGCTATGAGCTAAACATTTCAATATGCTGTCCCTTAATGGTAAATTTAATTCAAAACTTCACTGCATTCATTTTATAGCAAGGGCAATAATTGTCTCCTAGTGTGAAAAAGCTGCATTAGCTATTAACAGTTCTTTACACAAAATAGTTGTCAGAAAAAATAGGGAAAAAACTCTTTAAAACCATAACTGGAAAGAGCTAGTTGGTTTCACTTGTTGTTGAGCTGTTTTATAAAAGCAACTGCAAGAAGAAAAACTACTGAGAAGTTGATGGAGGGCCAAAAATATTAATATACTGGAACACAGTGAACTTTTTACAAGCTGTAAATATTTTTTTGGGTTCCCACATATAACCATAAAGTATGTTGAGTCCTTTCTTTGTCAAGCCTTCCACTATTAGTGTGCAGTCTGTGATGAATAACATCTACCAAAAAAAAATTAGAAAGTCATGGCGTGTGTCAGAAGGCCTGCATATTTCCTGTTGAAGCTACCAAAAGGAAAATCATTTTAGTAAATACCAGGAGACTCTAGGAAGAGCAGAGGGGTAAAATTAAAAATTCAAGAAAACAGGAAACAGCAAGTGGGATTAACTTGGTTTCTGGACCTTGGACACACTAGCAAGTTGATTCCTACCAGGATGAAAGAAGAGCGTTAGTGGAAAAAATCTGTTCATGCAACAGAATAAAACCACCATGTCGTTCTCGGAAGGGTCTTCGCCGTTGTCCAGGTGCCTTGCTTAGGTTTCAGTGGACTCTTCAGAGATAAGAGCATGGAGAGGTTTCTGCTTTTTGCTTTCTATTAAAAAAGCAGCTGATTAGAGTCAACCCAACGCTGAGTTTGCCGCAGCACTCCTTCCCGATACGATAAAGCTCGTGAAGGCCTTGGGCAAAACGTCAACCTTCCATCCCGTTGATTTGAGCACATTTTGTTAGGGGAAGATGTTTTTTCCTGCTTTTTTCCTCAGAAATCCCAGCCGCATCACATGAGAGAGGCTCTTCACTTGCTTGGGAGGCAGCAGAGAGTCAAGGAATATGGGGGACAATTAGCTGCTTGTCTGAAGGGCACGGGCTAGTGCGGTCAGAGAGACTAGATTTCCTCAGGGAGGAGCGGGGGGTTGACCAGAAACAAGCAGGACTGAAGGATGAGGATAACTCCCTTTTTCTCTCTCAGCTCAAGAGGGGTCTCTTCCTTGGAGCTGGGAGTCGAGGTCTTGCTAACTGGAGGGTTGAGAAGAGACCCAGGGCAGCACAGAAGGGACAGGCCTCTCTCTGACCAGCCTTCGCTGCACCCCTTCCCCCGGGCCCTCCCGCATTTGCCTGATGCCCCGTGAGGCACTGAGGCTCCGCCCAGGCCTTTGTCATGCGGCCGTTGCCTAGGAACGCCCAGGCGGGGTCTGGCTGGCTCGGACCCAGAGCAGCTGCTGTAGCCCCGGCGCGGCCGCGGGGGGCACAGAGGAGGTGGAGGTGGAGGTGGAGGGTGAGGGATGGCACAAAAAGGCTCCAGCCCAACCCAGCAGCGCAGCCCTGTGGAGCAAGATCAGATCTGGTAATAGCCTCCAGAGCCGGCTCATCCAGGGCCTTTGGGGTGTCAGAGCTGGGGGACTACTGGGCCCCGCTCCACAGCGGTCCCCGCGCCTGCTCAGACTCCACTTCAGCAGCGGCGAGATCCCTCAGACACAAAAGGGCCTGCCAGGAACAAGGCGGGCACGTAGGAGTGGCATCAGAAACCCTGAGCCGGGGAGAAATGAAGCTGGTCTGCCACCAGGTTCCCTTCCTCGCCCGTCCCCCACCTTGGCACCCTCCTGGGCACCCTTCTTTTTATCAGGGAAGACAAGTGGAGCCTCAAGACCAGAAGGGAACAGCAAGGAAAGTCTCTCTCCTAAGGTGGGAGAAACAGAGATGAGAAAGAAAGAAAATAGCAAGAAAGGAAATAGTTCATGTAATAAAGCATTGTGTTATGTAATAATACACACGTGAGGAAAAAAAGTATGAGCTTCTAGCCTTACTCACCACAGTTTTAAATCTTCCAGTCACTTTCCCTGGGACATAGTTTTCCCCACACTATTGCTCTTTGTATTTCTGTGTCACGTTAGATCAGCTGTTCTCAACTTCCGTCAACTCGAGACACGACATCCCTTGGTAGGCTCAAGGCATCCCTTGGGAAATGCTGGCTCTCAGCCTTCACTTGGTTTTTGACTGCCGAAAAATCCTGGAGCAGTTCTTCTCTTGCAAGCAGCTCACAACTCATCAGATTCCTACTGGAAATCTCTGCCAGTTTGTCGTGTGGACCATGTGTGCACACCTATGAGAGCTAACATCCCAGGGCACCCTTGACAGGTTCTCAAAGCAGCCCTGGTTGAGAATCACTAACTCCGATTCTCAATGCAAGTATTTTCAGTTAACCTCATCATAAGAAAGCATGAAGCAGGTCTGTTTTCATTAGCTGTTTTCATTACTGATTACTAACTGCTATTTAACAAAATCAGCCATTTAATTGATTTTGGAGTCTGAATTATTTCTAGAGGTGTGTCATAGCAAACGCAATGCCATCCAATCCTGAACTCTAAATATAAACATAGTTGGGAAGGAGTATATTCAGAATTACTGCTTCATTTCCATCAAAACAGAAAATATTTTCCCCAGGCCTCTTCAGCCTTAATGTACTAACATAGAAATGAGCTTGCTGCTCTGAGGGAGAGGCCTACCCTTTTGCAGTTTATAATTTTTCCAGCAGACTAGTTCATTTTGTGACTTTAGTTTGTTACTTGAATGCAAGCACTGAAGGTCTTTTCAGTCATTTTTCTGTTCGTTCCAGGAAAAGCTACGTTCACAAGGAACAAGAGGCTGCGAGGAAATGGGCCAACATATGGGGGTTTTTAGCGACATCTCCTGAGGAGGTAACACTGAATTCTATATAGTACCTGTACAAATTTGACTTGCATAGTTTACCCAGAATAGTTAGGTACAGCTTTTAGTTAAGCTGCTCCAGTGCAGAGCCATTATTATTGAAAGCTTAGCAATATGTATCCTAGACAGGCAACTTTGGTCATCTCTACCAGGCAAAATGATTGGAGCACAAAAGTGTTGAAGAGTGCTTATAACACTCCTACATGTAGGGCTCCAAGTTAGTAAATGAAGTTCTTCTAAGGTGATTTAACATTTTTTTTTCAGAGCTGCTTTCGGAATAAAATGACAAGTTGTAATTTATATGCTCTACATATTAGAATGCATACGACTCCCAGGAGTGTTAGCAAGAATTAGATGCATGTTGACAGAATATTTCCCCTTTGTCCGTCCATATGGTAGTTTAAAAGTGGAGGGAAAAAAGATTTTAGCTAATTAAATTTTCAGTATGGAAATTTGCAACTTGCTAAAATACTTGGAAAGGGGCTATCCAGTCTCGGTGATAATTGCATTTTAGATGTGAAATATATAGAGGCCATGCTGTCCTGCTGTTGAACAACAGGAGCAATGCTACCACTGATTTCAGTGGTAACCTTACCATTGATTTCAGTTAGACTTATGCACCTAACCTTTGGGACTTTTGAAAGTTCCAGTAGACAGCCAAGTACCTTGGAAAACTCTGGCCCACTGGACCCAAGTATCTCTGCTTTACAAACAAGGACGGAATTTGCTTACCAACCCTCCTGTCAGGCTCAGAGATCTAGTCATTACAAGTCCATTATAAATTATTACCATCATTAAGTCTTATGCCATAAAGAAATTACCATAAATGAATAAGGTATCCAGGTTGTAGCCATATTGGTCTAGAGGCAAAAGAAATCAGAACTTATGGTAGAGGTGGTACCTTTTATTAGACCAACTAGATTTTTGCCAAAAAAATTCTTTAATTAAGTAAAGAATTTTTTTGGCAAAAATCTAGTTGGTCTAATAAAAGATGTCACTTCCACCGTGAGTTCTGATTCCTGTAAATGAATAATACAGATATTTGGCACTATTATGATTATTCAGTTTGCTATCATATAAGTCACATTTCCAGGACTTCTGGACTTCGGGGTGAGAGTTGGAGGCACTCAGAAAGATTCAGCCCCTGCTCCTGAATTCAGAATTAAATGAGGCTGAGAAGTCCATTAGAACAACTTCCAAAGCTATACAATAAATAGTCCTGTATCCGGTTGCCTAGAACAGGGTGCTTAGAAACCACAGGTATGGGTATCGGAGATTAAAACATTTCTTTGGCTGAAGTGTCCATTTTTTTTATAATGTTGATATTCTATTTTAGTTGATCAAAAATGAAAAGAAAGAACCCTCTAAACCTAAGATTGAACTTCCAGAACATTTACAGATCCGACCTTTGACACCAATGGAAAAATATATTAAGGTTAGAAAATTAGATTTTAAAATTGCTATACAGTGAAATCTGTCTTAAGCAGCCACCCAAGCACTAAAAGTCAGTTGTCTAGTAGAGGTGGGCCTTTAACTAAAGGTCAGACTAAATTGTACTGGAAACCTTAGCGATACTTTAAAAGGGTTCATTTAAGACAGGGACTTGCCCTTTGGATGTGTTTTTTGGTGAAGGTTTCACTGCACAACAATCAACTTCTACCATAAAGCAGCTCCTTCGTAGATTTGTGCATAACAGATTATTTCTCTGATGCATGCATGTGCGGGCCCATCAGCATTCATAAAGAAGGCTGTGAAAATTGTCCCTTCCCTGACTGGGAAGACAGAGAGATACGCCCCATCTTTCAAGATATATCATAGCCTGCTTTTTAACTTTCATTTTTCAGCTTCCTCAGTACAGCTGAACGTTTCTCTATTTTTATTCAAGCAAGTCACTTTTTGCTGCAGTTTGTTTTAAACCCTGTCAATAGCAGAAATTAGACTGGCCTAATCAGTGAAACAAATTCTAGTATATGATTCATAATGGTTGGGTTTTATAGCGTACGTTTTATACTCATGCTTCAACATCAGTGTGATTTGTGTACACAGCCGGATCAGAAGGTGGAAATCTGATGCACTACTTAATTCACAATTGTACTTTGCTGGAACTCCACTGGATACCTTTTCCCCACAGACACTTTACCCCTGGGAAAGATGCATAATCACAAGTGGAAAGTAAAGTGAAGTTCATGTGATTGCCAACAGAAGGGTGAATAGTCCATGAGATAACAATGACCTTTTCCCACATAGTCAGATTGGAAACTCCTACCTTTTTGTGCAAAATTTCTTTTTGAAAGGACTTTGCAAAAGCCACAGAAGGAAAAGCCATTACTCAGATCATAAGAACTGAAAATTAAAAAGTAAAAGCTGGTGCTACATACTGAAACTGAAAAAGTGCTGCAATTTCTGCTGTTAGAGCTTCACACCTTTGTCATAATTCCAGGTTTCCAGCCAGTCATTCTTACCTCTCACGGCCGGGTTTGTGCTTGCACACTCACAGTACAAATCAGACAGCTGGTCATCAGTGCCAGATTACCATGTGCAACCCGTTGTGAGTGCACTGAAAAAGAGTGAAAACTTTAGATCAGATCATGAAAATATACACTGGCCAAGGGAAGCAAGAGTTCACTGTGGATCTGTCCTACAGTTTGTCTTTTGAAGACCTATAAAAATGTTTTTCAACCCATAGTTTGAGGTTACAGCATTCACGCTCTCCCATGGGAATGAACCATAACATCATCTCATCCTCTAGGTGGGTTAGATTCCTAATCCCTTGTGCTCACCCCTTCCTCCAGAGCATAGGAGGGGCATGGCTTTCTTCCAGTATCCTGCTCAGTGGGTGGCTCTTGTGGCAAGGAAAGTTATCTCTTCAGAGGAAGTGCTCCACCTAAATATCATAAACATTTTCCCTTGTTGGCAGGGGAACAAAGCGAAACAGCTCTGGCAAAAGAACTGAAACATTGTTCTCCTGCTCTGTATCTCTTTACTGAGTAAGTCCCCAGATGCTAAAGTGATACAACAGAGAGCACTTTTAATGTGCCCAGTTGAGATGATTCAGCCAAAGCAAGCACAGCAGTCAGTGCATAGAGGCTGTTGGCTTTTGTTTGGTTTCCTTTTTAGCCTGATTAATGACTGATTAACTTGATGCTTAACCATTTTTTTAGTCGAAAGGGACTGGAAAGGATAAATGAGTTTGTACACAGGAGCCAGCTTGGTCACCAGTATCTTTAGTGTGTGGCCTTAGAGCTACTGTTACTTAGCAATGTAACCACCAATTTGGCCAGTGCAAAAGTGCCTTCTTCCTTTGTTTCCAAATGTTAACTAGCCTAGGGATGATTAATACAGGCATACCTCGGAGATATTGCAGGTTCGGTTCCAGACCACCGCAATAAAGCGAATATCGCAATAAAGCGAGTCACATGAATTTTTTGGTTTCCCAGTGCATATAAAAGTTATGTTTACACTATACTGTAGTCTATTAAGTGTGCAATAGCATTATGTCTAAAAAAACAATGTACATACCTTAATTAAAAAATACTTTATTGCTAAAAAATGCTAACCATCATCTGAGCCTTCAGCGAGTCGTAATCTTTTTGCTGGTGGAGGGTCTTGCCTCGATGTTGATGGCTGCTGACTGATCAGGGTGGTGGTTGCTGAAGGTTGGGGTGGCTGTGGCAATTTCTTAAAATAAGACAACAATGAAGGTTGCCACAAACCTTCAATTTGTAAAAAACGCAATATCTGCGAAGCGCAATAGAGCGAAGCGCAATAAAACGAGGTATGCCTGTATTTGCCTCTGTTCTGCACTGGTGAGGCCACATCTGGAGTGTTGTGTCCAGT